CTGAGTAAAGCCCTTGATGTCACCAGAACTTGTGTCACGTGGAGAAGTCATTGGAGTGATGAGAATTCAGTTTCCTGGAGGGGGCAGTGGGGTGGTCTCTTGGGGGAAAAGATGGTTTGAATGCTGTAGAATTGGGCTGTGGTGAGGGTTGCACAGCTCTGTGAGTTTGCTAAGAACCACTGAGCTGCACGCTTAAAACCTGGGAGGTGTGAGGTAGGAGATTTCCTCATGATGGAGCCTGAGACCCTGCTCTGCTTCCTCCCAGGGGCCCTGCCCAAACCCTCCCTCAGGGCGGAGCCAGGCCCTGTGATCCCCCGGGGGCGGCCTGTGACCTTTGTGTGCTGGGGCCCAGCTTGGGCTGAGATCTTCTACCTGGAGAAGGATGGAAGGCGCGTCTACCTTTATCACAAAAGTGAGCCTCAAGGTGGTTTGCCTGTGACAGAGGCCAGATTCCACATCCCTGCAGTGAGTGATGTTACTGCAGGGAGTTACCGCTGCCTCTATGAAAATGTGTATGAGGTCCGGTCTGAGCGCAGTGAGCCCCTGCAGCTGCAGGTCACAGAGGAGGACGCCTCCACTCCGCCCTCAGGTGGGTCCCAGCGCCCTGCACCCTGTCCCTGCCCGTCTCTGTCCTCGGGCTCCCTGCCCTCCTGCTCACCCCCAGCCCTGGGGCTCCCGTCCCCCTGCACACATGACTCTCGGCCTTCACCCCTGGCTCAGGGCCCTGGACTCTAGTCCCATCTGGAAACCAGGGTGGCCTGGACCCTGAGCCCCGCATCAGAGGGGGCACACAGCTGTCCTGCTGGGCTGGGTGGGGCCTGAGCTTCCAGCCACCAGGTGGGGACAGACCTTTTCAAGGGGCCCGAATCCTTCCCCTCAGGATGGCAGTGCCCTGCCCTTTCCCCTGGCCAGGCTCTTTGGGGCCGGGGCAATGTGTGCCCTGGGGTCTGCCCTCCATGGGCAAGTGGCATGATCCAGGGGCATGACCAGAGCTGGACGTTGCTTAGGGGCATTTTTTGGATGAGGCTGCCCCCGACCTGGTGTGGTCAGACCCTGAGATGAACTGGAATCAGGGTCCAGCAAAAACATGGGGAGGGAAGGAGGTGTCCACTAATTCATCCTGACCCTGTGACCCTCCCTGCCCTGGGGGCCTGTGGTTGGCACAGTGGCTGGGTGAGGTGAGCTCAGAGTCCAGGCCCTGTGAGCCTGTGGCCAGGTCAGGGGGCTCCCACCCTGTGTGTCCATGGGCCAGGACCAGCTGCCCTGTGCTAATGTAGGGAGGGTGGTGGGATGTTCTGAGGGGTGGCCAGCCCCTCAGACAAGTGGAATCAGAAAGGGTGCCACCCGGTGTACCCTGTCTCCCTGTGCCCTTTCTGGGGGGTGTCGGGGCGTCCTCTCTACTGGGATGTGCAGAGAAAGAGACCAGGTGAGGGCGCTGTGGGCGGTGAAGGGCCAGGTGAATGGGGCAGGCAAAGTGGAACTTGGGCTCAGTGGTTGCCCTGCCCCTTTCAGGGGAGCCCCTGGAGACCTCAACTCTCACCCTGAATGTGGGCTGGGGAGGGGGACCAAAGCCCTGGCGTCCCCTCCTCGGACTCTGCTGGGCAGTGTGCAGTGGGGTGGCCGTGAGCAGGGGCTCTGCCTCTCTCACAGTGGGGCACACAGGGAGGGCAGTGACATTTACATCCTCAACAGCAAGAGACCAGTTCAACCCCTGGCTGGGGGTGGGGCGTGGGGGTTTGGTGAGAGCCAGGAACGAGATGCTGTATCTCCCTGCTGGAGTTTGATGAAATGCAGGTTTGCATTTGGCAGCTGGGCCTGCCCTGGGGTCCTCTAGGTGACTGGCTGTGGCACCTGGGGACGTGCACCGAGGGCTCCTGAGGTGCTGCAGGTGGAGGTATTCCTGGGGCGGGGCCTGGGTGCTCCCCATGGAGGGAGGTTCCCTGAGGGAACCAGGAGGCAGGGCGTCCAGAGAAGGGGAGCGGCTGCCTGAGACGTCCGTCACCCCTTCCTGTCTCCTAGCAACACGCCCTGCTGTCACCCTCCCACCCACAGAAGTGACACCTTCAGCCACAGAATCGGCCTCCCAGACAGGTCAGCCATCGGGGAGGGAGTGTGCACAGGGGTATAGGGGAGGGGCAGGTTCCCCCATTGAGAAGGCGCTCCAGCCTCCGAGGGCCTGGACTGGCCCAGTCGTGTCCACCTGTCAGTGACCCCTGCCCTCTGCTTCCAGGCCCCGCCTCCCGGGATTACACAGTGGAGAACAGCATCCGCTTGGGCCTGGCGGGCGTGGTCTTGCTGATCCTGGTGGCGATTCTGGTGGAAGCTGGCCTCAGCCAGCGCAGGACCCCACAGGGACCACAGGAGTAAAGACAAGCGAGCCCCCCGGAGAGAGGGGATCCCAGGGCCCCAGCAGGGACCTCACCGGGGGCCCGAGGCTCACCCTGGAGCCCAAAGACCCAGAGTCGCCCCCGCTGTTGTTCAAGGACAAGAGAACCCAGGCCCACGTGGGTTAGGAAGCTTGGCCTCAACCCCTCATCTTCCCAGGACCATCGAGAGGACTCAGCTTGATTGACAGGCAGGCAGACAGGGCAGAGCCCCAGGGGAAACAAGGCAGGTGGAACGGAGGCAGGGCAGACACGGCCACGTGAGCCAATCTAATCACGGAAGCCAACCGCGCAGAAATAACAGGATGATTTTAGACTGGGAGGGGCCTCAACAATAAGGTGAGCTGAGGCATAGGAACCCAGAAGGTTCAGGTCTGCTTCTGGGCAAGAACAATTGAGAGAATTCATCAGGTGGCCACAGGGGGAGATAGAGAGCAGGTTTGTAGCAAATACATACCCCTAGACCACAGGCTTCAGTGGCCACCATGACTGAGCCCTCTCCCCATGCAGGGAGTCTGAATCTGCTTGCAATAAAGTTTCTCCACTTTTGCTTCAATCTTCTGGTCTGAGATTTTATTCTTAGGGTTCCTGCAACTCGATCCTCTGAAATAAACCTGGGCTTCATGTTCCGGGTATCATAACGATTCCTATCCCAGCCAACCCAGGGCCTCTAAGACATGGGAGGGAGGCAAACTGCCCTCCATCAGGTGGGTGGGCCTCCTCAGATGGGCTGAAGAGAACAGGACTGACCCCGGATTCTGCTGGGAAAACTTGCTGGGGTTCGAGCTGAGACCGCAGATCCCCTGGTCTCCAGCCGCCAGCCCTCCCTTCAGATTTTGCACTTGCCAGACTCCTGGATTGTGTGAGCCAATCCTGCCACATACATCTCTCTGTATATACAGGCCTGTTGGTCCTGTGTCTGTGACAGACCTGCACGGATACAGTGGGCACCGCATTTCTTTTGTGGGGCTGGGGGATGATGAAAATAATTTAAAATGAAGTAGAAGCAATGGCTCACAAGATGGTGAATGGACAACATGCCACTGGATAGTACACTTTTCCCCCTTCTGAGGATCTTGTCTGTATTGTTGACACTATTAGAGAAGTTCCCCATCCTCCCCTCCCCCACCATTGCCCTCCTGATGGCCCAGCTCTGCCTGGGGCCTGCCTGGGGGCTGCAGCCTCTGCACTCATCCCTGGGCTGGGAGCTGAGGAGTCTCAGGCCTTTCCCTCCAGGTCCTGACTCTCCTCTGTCTCCTCCTCCTGGGGGCCCCTCCCCTGGGAGGTCACAAGGATGCACCTCAGTGTTGTGAGGGGGGAGGCTACGGGACCACCTTCCCTAGTCACAGTGTCTGAGTTCTGTGCCCTAAATGCTAAATGGACCCATGAAGGCTCATCAGCTTCCAGTCGGGAATCCAGCCACCAGCCTGGACTCATCTGGGTCTTTGCAAACTCAACCTTCCCAGAAGCCCCGCCCACCAACATGACTCTTTCTTCAGTGATTTGGCTTCAGTGGATTTGGGTGCTTTCAGTTTAGAAATAGCCAGAGGCAGCTGGGAGGCAGGGGAGTGTGCGGGTGGCAGCTCAGGGTCACAGGGCACAGAGGGGCACAAATACGAGGGCATCGAGCCTCATCCAGGTGCCACCTGCCCTGCAGAGCATGAGGGGGCAGGCTGAGTCCTTCCCGTGTACCCACCACTCCCTGTGCTGCCCCTGGAATAACATGGAGGTGTCAGGAGAGTCTATGGTTTCACGTTTGCAGGTGAGAAACCGATGCATTTGCATAAGAGAATGTGTGGTTTGGGGACAGTCAGCTTGTGAGGGCCAGATGACAAGCCATTAAGTTTCCCTGCCTGTATGGTCTACCTATGTTTCTATGTATCTCCATATATATCGTTGTATCTTTATATCTATCTATGTAACTATGTATCTATCTAATTATCTATGTATCAATCTGTGTAACTATGTATCTAAATATCAATGAATTTATATAATTATCTCTGTATCTATCTAAATATCTATTCAACTCTCTGTATTTATATAATTATGCATCTGACAACCTGTATATCTATCTATGTAGCCCAGTATGTATTTATATAACTGAGTATTTTTGTAACTATCTCTATATCCATGTGTGCATCTATGTATTTATCTATGTAACTATCAATTTGTGTATCTGTGTAACAACTTATACATCTATGTATCTGAGTACCCAGCTATCTAGGATCTATCTACATATCTATCTCCCTATTTGTCTATCTATCTATCTATCATCTATGTCTGTCTATAGCAGGTGAATTAATACCATGTGGGTTTGATCTGGTCATGGGTTTAGCCTGGTGAGGACGTATATCGCTAGAAAGTGCTGCGTGAAAAATTAGAAATTTACTTCTTCATAGCGTTTCACCAAGGCCTGTATGGACCAAAAAAGAGGAAACTGGATTTGGGGTTAGGAGCACCTGCCTCCCTTCATGAGAAACCACGGAAATGACGCACATGGCTCAGTCCTTTTAAAGCCGCCCTGCAAGTTCCCTGACCTGCAGGACCCTGCCCGCCCTCACCCAGGCACCTCCTCCATGTGGACAAGGACAGAGAAGACTGGGAGAGGCTGGCCATGAGCCCCCGGCCCTCCACCCTCCTGGGCCTCGGTGAGTCCTGGATGGAGAGACCGCATCCCAGGGACCGAGGGGGTGGGATCTGGGGAGGCAACCACATCCCTGCTCAGTCTGACTCCAGCCCAGGAGACTCATGGTCCCTCCTGGGGGTCTGGCCCCTCAGCTCTGGCCCTGACCTAAGTGTGACCATGGGAGGGTCAGTCCTAGAAACAGGTGCCTGGGTGTGGGGACCGGTTCTGACTGAGGACCTGATTGGAAGAGGGGGTGGGAGTTTGTCTGCAAACTCAGAGCAGGAAGCAGGATTGTGCTCAGAGGGGATGGCGAGGAGGGAGCCTGGGAAATTCTCGGGGCCGAGCCCGCTGCCTCCAGGAAGGCCTCCTGATTGCAGCCCAAGGAGGACCGGGTTCTGGGCGTTGTTCTCACCAGACCTTCCCTTGCAGTGCTCTGCCTGGGCCAGACGATCCACATGCAGGAGGGTGAGTCCGTCTTTTTAAATGGAGTTTTTCATATCAATTCCATTTTCAGGCATAATATTGGTTTTCCTCAGAGTCCTCTCCAGGTGTATCTTCAGCTGGAATGAGCCCCAGCCTCTCTCTTTGTCTGGATCTGTCTGTTCTCTGCCCTCTGGCTAAGTTACCTTCAGAAACCAGCCTTTCTTTCACTTTCACGAACACCATGTTCCTGCTGAACCTCGGCCTTCTCCCAGGCTGAGGGCTTCTGTGCTGGGCTTGGCTCATTCCCACCTGACCCTCTGGTCTCAGCTCAGGGCTGCCCCCACTGCCTCTGATGAGAGGTGAGCTCTGCCCCCCTCACCCTGAGCCTCCCACACTCAGCCCTGGGCGAGTATCACAGCGCGTGGCTGTGGTCTGCACACTCCCCCCCTCACCCTGTGCTCCCTCTTCCCTTCCCCCAAGAAGGCAGGGACCCTCCTGTGTTTCTCTTATTTGTGGAGCCAATGGCAAAAGGAGGCGTCTGTAAAGGAAAAGATGGGAGCTGAGCTGTGGCTGAAGGAATGAGGGAATGAGTGCTGGGGCTCGGCCAGCTCCGCCTCTATGGGGTTTGGGTAACTTGGATCCCTTCTTCCTGTTTCAGGGCTAGAGCCCTCTCTCCCTGCCCAGCCCAGTTTAGACACTTGGGGTGTCAGGTGCCTAGGTCACAAGGAAGTGGAAATGGGCTGAGAGGAAGGTGGGAAATGCAGAGGGAACCTGAGTGAGTGCTGCTCAGAGGACGTGCCCTGGAGTCAGGGGGTCCTCAGCCACTGGGGTCCTGTGAGCAGGTCCAGTCTGGTGTCTACTCCCACCCCCACTAGACCTCCCATGGGGCCCTGAAGGCCAAATGGTACCCACAATCTCCCCAGCTGCTTTCAGGCCTGTCCAAGGCCTTCCCACCATCTCAGAGTCCACAGTCCCTGTCTCCATGAGTAACCTGCTCATCCTCATCCTCTGCCTCCCTCCCAGCCCTGTCTGTCTCCCTGGAGAGTGGCCGTGGGGAGGGAGACATGTCTGGGGCCCCAGGCTGCTCTGACACCTCCCGTGTCCCCCTGAGAAAAGCTCAGGATGTCACCAGAACTTGAGTCACGTGGAGAAGTCAATGGAGAGATGAGGACCTAGTTTCTTGGAGAGGGAAGGGGCGGGGTTTGCGGAAGGAATGTTTCAAATGGTGTGGAATTGGGCTGTGGTGAGGGTTGCACAGCTCTGCGAGTTTTCTAAGAACCACTGAGCTGCAGGGTTAAGACATGGGAGGTGTGAGGTAGGAGATTTCCTCATGATGGAGCCTGAGATCCTGCTCTGCTTCCTCCCAGGGTCCCGGCCCAAACCCACCCTCAGGGCCGAGCCAGGCCCTGTGATCCCCCGGGGACGGCCTGTGACCTTTGTGTGCCGGGGTCCAGCTGGGGCTCAGATGTGCCGCCTGGTGATGGATGGAAGACCTGAACGCCGTTATCAGAACCTGGTGCCTCTAGATGGTTCACAGGGGACAGAGGAGAGATTCCTCTTCCCTGTGGTGGCTGCAGACACTGCAGGGAGTTACCGCTGCTACTGTTTCACCCAGTTCGGCTGGTCTAAGCGCAGTGAGCCCCTGGAGCTGCAGGTGACAGGGGAGGACGCCTCCACTCCGCCCTCAGGTGGGTCCCAGGGCCCTGCACCCTGTCCCAGCCCCGTCTCTGTCCTTGGGCTCCCTGCCCTCCTGCTCACCCCCAGCCCTGGGGCTCCCCTCCCTCTGCACACATAACCCTCAGCCTTCACCCCTGGCTGTGGGCCCTGGAATGTGGTCCCATCTGGACACCACGGTGGCCTGGACCCTGAGCTCGGGATCAGAGGGGACACAGAGCT